AAAAAAAAAAAAAAAAAAAAAAAACCCACAAAATCAATATACAGATTAAAAAATTACTAATGGAAAAAAGTGTTATCTTGGTGTGTTTAACATTAGAATTTGCCTACAAGGTTCAGTAGTACATAAAACATTTAATGTTAGGGTGTGAGTCTTAAAATCTATGAAGTATTAAAATTAACTTTAAATTTATATATTATATTTTTATTTAAAATGCTATATTTAAATTGCATTGTGTGGTTGAAATTTTAAAAAATGTAAAAATACATAGGTTTCTTGAAAATTAAATTTATCCATAGTCTCCAGTTCCTTTTCCACAGCAACTGAAATTCTTCAAAGACTGAGCACTACCACCCTTGTGGGCTCGCACAGTCTTGTCCCCTCAGATAGGCCGAGTCGATTATATTTCGATTATTATTTCAATTAACTCTGCCCCTGGCAGGAATCTGCTATTGTCGGTTTCATCCAATCGGGACCTTGAAAGTCACCATAGTGCTGTTATTAGTGACGCCACTTGTAGTGATGTTCAAGCTCCCGATTGAATAAAACTTTCCACAGCTGATACCTGTCAGGGCGGAGTTGTGAAAATCGCAGTATATTACATGTTTCATTATCAGGAAGTCAAGAGGCCCAGAGGTTGCTCCGCGGGAGCGCTCTGGAGCTTGCAAACAAGTAAATTCCTGTCACTGGATAGGTCGCTCCGCGGCCTTACCCATCGCCTCTGCGGGAACATTTGAAGGTTATATGATCTTCAAAGAACTTTTATTATGAACAAATGTGTGAAAAACGTATTAACGTAAAATGCATATCTGAAATAATTTGACATGGGGATAATCGGAATTTATCTGGGATGTGCCAAAAACCACAACATCGTACAAACATAAAAAACATATACGTACAAAACATATAAACAAGAGTTTCACTGTACATACTTATATGTAAGGGATTACTAACAGTGCAAATAAATGAACAAATGATATAAGTCAACATGGGGCATTTTAATATTTACCTATTTTATCACAGCCTTTCAAAAGTGTCAATAAATTTTCTTTTTCACTTGGAATTGTCTGATGCAACCAGGCCAGCATATCACCCACATATCTTTTTGGATCATGTGCATGAAGTTCAATTGGTTTTGGCATTCCACCTGGTCCTCCTTGGGTCAGAGCATCAAGAAATGCTCTTACTAATACAGATCTCCTTGAAGTACAGTATTCATCCATAACATATCTGAATTTAAATTAAAAGAAAAAACGATAACTTTTAATTGTATATAATTGAATGCAATGGAAGTAAAATCAAATTAAGAAGTATATAGACACCTCCATTTCTTGATAACATTCTAATCAAATTAGTAACAAAAAAGGGGTATGCTTGAGATTAGACAATGGCAAGCCACTCAACAAGAAAAATTGAGATTTTTACCTTTTTTTCTGCTAGAGGTTGAAATGTCACTGACAAAGTAGTGTTTTGCATATAGTAATTAACATTTCTTTTAATACATTAAACATGCTTTTAATGTTAATCACAGAATATATGGAATTCTATGAACTTTCAATTGCCCCTCCTGAGCGAGTCATTTGAAGTGATCTACCATTATCTAATCCAGACTGCCTAAAATGTTTGTGATTCGTAATTATTTAAAGCCAAAATATATCTTATAGGCCAATGAAATAAAATTTAATATTTGTTTAATTCCTGAGACAAATAATATTTCTTTCGAGAGGTGCTCATTAAACAATTTCAATAAAATTTATATTTAATGAAAGGCACAGAGTATAAGTAATTCACCATCCCCAACGAAGGCGATCTTCACCAATGGACCCCTTTGGTTTAGTATCAATATCACAAGTGTTCACATGCTCCATTCCAGCAAATAATAATCTTACGAAAGTATCTGAACAATTCAAATACATGACGAATTGACTACAACAAAAATGGCGAAAATTTGACCAAGATAGCTTCATTTATGAAATCTATTCTGTATGAATACAATTGATAGAACATTCTGATATGAAGATCACAGCAATTAGAGACTTTTAAAAATTTGGTAAAAGAATCACAATTTTCAACATTAAAACCTCTGAACAAAGAAAAAAATATCTGATTCTGGATATTATATTAGTCGTTCAGATAAACAATAGTAAATTACACATAGGGTTTTGTTGGAAAACAAAAAACTAACAACAATAAGCCATTCTTGTAATTACTTTGCCACAAAGGAACGCGCAAGCACACGTGCTCACACACGCACACTGTACAGCAATACACACACACACACACACAGAAATGCACACTCCATGCACATCTATGTGTTTTTCCAGCCAGAAGATTTATGTGCTGTTAATTTTGTTGTAACTCCACTACATGACGCACCAGAACTAAATTGCGCTTCTTTTTCATTCAATTTCCATTCAAACTGCGATCTACCCTGCCTTCATTGTTGCCAATAAAGAGAGAGAGAGAGACAGAGACGGAGAGAGAGAGAGAGAGAGGGAGACGGAGAGAGAGAGAGAGAGGGAGACGGAGAGAGAGAGAGGGAGACGGAGAGATAGAGAGAGAGAGGGAGACGGAGAGAGAGAGACGGAGACGGAGAGAGAGAGAGGGAGACGGGGAGAGAGAGAGGGAGACGGGGAGAGAGAGAGAGGGAGACGGAGGAAGAAGAGAGGAGACGGATGAGAGAGAGAGTAGGTTGAGCGTTGGAGAATGAGAGAGAGAGTGGAGACCCGTCGATAGAGAGAGAGATGATGAGTGGACAGAGACGAGAGAGACTGTGAGAGAAGAGGAGACGGAGAGAGCATGAGAGCGGAGCGGAAGAGAGAGAGGGAGACGCGAGACGAGAGAGAGAGAGGGGACCCGGAGAGCGAGAGAGGGGAACCGGAGAGAGAGAGAGGTGGGAGGACGAGAGGAGAGAGAGAGAAGGAGAGGAGCGGAGAGAGAGAGAGAGGGCACGAGAGAATCGAGAAGCCCTACGGCAGACGAAGAGAGAGAGTTGTCGAGACGGAAGGAAGAGAAGTGGGTAGACGGAAGACGAGAGAAGAGAGGGATGATCCGGTAGAGGAGTAGACGAAGATTACGACCGCGACGACGACTTGATTTGACGAGAGGGAACGCGGAAGAGGAGAGAATGATGTGGGTAGACGGAGAGAGAGGAGAGAGGGAGACGGAGAAGAGGATGAGGGGGGAGACGAAAGAGAGAGAGAGAGGAGAGACGGGAGGAGAGAGGGGACGGATGAGATGAGATGATGGGAGGACGGAGAGAGAGAGAGGGAGACCGGAGAGAGAGTGATGGGGAGGACGGAGAAGAAGGAGACAGGAGAGAGAGAGGGAGACGGAGACGAGAGAGAGGGAGCGGAGAGGAGAGAGAGAAGAGGGAGACGGAGAGAGAGAAAGAGAGGGTAGACGGAGATGAGTGAGAGAGGGGATTAGACGAGAGTGTGAGAGAGAGTAGGGAGAACGGAGGAGGAGTGAGTGTGAGCGGAGAGTGAGGAGAGTGAGAGGGAGACGTAGAGAGGAGAGAGGAGAGGACGTGTAGCGATATGAGATTGTTAGATGGATACGTAAGAAAGAGGAAGAGGGAGACGGAGAGAAAGAGAGAGGGAGACGGAGAGAAGAGAGGAACGGAGAGAGAGAGAGGGAGACAGATAGAGAGAGAGGCGAGAGACGGAAGAGAAGAGAGAGGCGAGACGGACGCAGAGAGAGAGCGGAGACGGACGAGCGAGAAGGGTTAGATTCGGATGGGGAGGAGAGGAGGAGAGGGAACGGAGAGAGGAGAGGAACGGAGAGAGGAGAGGGGGAGACGTGAGAGAGAGAGAGCGGAGAAGAGAGGGGGGATCTCGGATGAGAGAGAGAGGTGGAGAGCCGAAGAGAGAGAGTTGGAGAGGGAGACGGAAGAGATGAGGGGCGAACTGGAGATGGAGGGGACGGATGAGGAGAGAGGGAGACGGATGAGATGACTGATGTGAGAGGCGAGACGGAGAGAGGTGAGAGAGGGATGACGTGAGATGAGAGAGGGAACCGGAGATGAGATGTTTTACTGAGACGTGAGACCGAGAGAGGAGAGATCGAGAGAGAGAGAGAGGGATCGACGACCGAGACCCTGAAGGGAGATGCGGAGAAGAGAGAGAGGAGAGAACCGGAGAAGGTAGAGAGAGAGAGGGAGCTGTGAGATTGGGTTAGAGAGAGAGAGAGGCCGTAAGACGGAGAGAGAGCGAGGGGAGGAGACGGGACCGGGAGACGAAGGCGACGGAGAGAGCAGAGAGGTGAGACGGAGAGAGAGAGCCGAGGTGGCACGGCGAGAGTAGAAGGGAGAGACGGCGCATTAGAGGGAGAGACGAGATGAGAGGTAGAGTGGAACGGGGAGAGAGAGAGAGAGACTGGTGCCGAGACCGGAGCACCTCAGGACGAGAGAGAGGAGGAGGATGGAGAGAAGGACAGGCGGAGAAACGGAGAGAGAGAGAGGGATCGGAGAGAGAGAGAGAGAGGGGAGCGGTGATTTGAGCGACCTACGGAGGGAGGGGAGGAGAGGGAGACGGAGAGAAGAGAGAGGAGACGGAGAGAGACGATAGAGAGAGGAGGATCCGGAGATGAGAGGGAGTGAGATGGGACGGAGAGAGGAAGAGAGGGAGACGGAAGAGAGAGGGAGAGGAGACGACGAGAGGGAGAAGGAGAAGACGGAGGGATGAGGGGAACGGGAGAGGGGAGACAGACGGAGAGAGAGGAGAGAGACGGAGAGAGAGAGAGAGGGGACGGAGAGAGAGGAGACCGGGAGAAGACGGAGAGAGGAAGGGAGACGGGAGAGAGAGAGAGTTGATGACTGGGAGAGAGAAGGAGAGAGCGGAAGAGGAGAGAAGGAGAGGAGAAGGAAGAGAGAAGAGAGAGGGACGGAGAGAGATGAGGAGGGAGGAGAGAAGGGAGAGGAGAGAGGGGAGACGGAGAAAGAGTAGGGAGACCGGAGAGAAAGGGAGAAGGAGAAGACGGGAGAGAGAGGGGAAGGAGAGCTGAGAGAGAGGGAGCCGAGAGAGAGGGAACGGAGGAGAGAGGGGAGACGGAGAGAGAGAGGGAGACAGAGAGAGAGAGAGGGGAGACGGAGATGATAGAGTGAGAGGGGAGGAGAGAGGGAGAGCCGGGTGAGAGAGGAGACTGATGAGAGAAGGGAGACGGAGAGAGAGGGGACGGGAGAGAGAGGGAACGGAGAGAGAGAGGGAGACGGCGGAGAGAGAGAGGAGAGGAGGAGAGGGAGAGACGAGAGAGAGAGGAGAAGGAGAGAGAGGGAGACGGAGAAGAAGAGACGGGGAGACGGAGAGACGGAGAGAGAGGAGACGGAGAGAGAGGCGAGACGAGAGAGAGAGGAATGGAGAAGACGGAGCAAAGAATGAAGAGAGAGAAGGGAGACGGAGTTCGGAGAGAAGAAGAGGTTGAACGGCGGGAGACAGAGGAGAGGGAGACGGGAGAGGAGAGAGAAGGGAGACGGAGAGAGAGAGAGAGAGGGAACGGAGAGAGAGAGAGAGAGACGGAGAGGAGAGAGGGAGGAACGGAAGACTAGAACAGAGCCGAGACGCAGAGACGAGGAGGAACGAGGAGAGAGAAGGAGAGAGGAACGGGAGAGGAGAGAGAGGAGACGTGAAGAGGAGAGAGAAGAGGTGAGGGAGACGGAGAGAGAGACGAGGGGAGAGCGAGAAAGGCGAGAGAGAGAGGGAGGACGGTGCGAAAGAGGAGAGAAGGAGATCGGATCCGATGAGAGTATAGAGGCCGAGAACGGAGAGAAGAGAGATGAAGAGGTGTGGAGGAGAGTAGAGAGGAGACGGAAAGAGAAGGAGAAGACGGACATTTTATGAGTGATGAGGGAGACGGGAGAGAGGGAGGACAGGAGAGAGAGGGAACGAAGAATTGAGGTGGAGACGATATGTAGGAGAGGGAGATCGAAGAGAGAGGGGAGACGGATGAGTAGAGGGAGACGGAGACGAGAGGAGACGGAGAGAGAGGACGGAGGAGAGAGGGGAGACGGCAGATAGAGGACGGAGAGAGAGGGCGAGAGAGAGGGGAGACGAGAGAGGGGAACAGAGAAGGAGACGGAGAGAGAAGGAGACGGAGAGAGAAGGAGACGGAGAGAGAAGGAGACGGAGGGAGAGGGAGACGGAGAGAGAGGGAGACGGAGAGAGAGAGGGAGAATGGAAGAAGACAGGAAAAAGAGAGAGATGAAGGACAGAATGTGTACCAGGCTCCGCTAGTGATTTCATATTTGTCGAAAACAAAAATATCATTTACCAAATTACCAGACACAAAAACTCTCACATATACTTGTTAAATGCATTGATAAATGTAATACATTTGTTCCATGCAGCCAACAGCAAGATTTTAGTATAAGTTAGCAAGGTTTTAAAAAGGAATTAATCAGTAATTTTTTTTTAATAAACTTAGTTCCTTAATATACTTATCCTGAAAATTCTAGACAGTTCAGTTTCCAAATACAAATTTGATTGTAAAACAATAACTTCACAAAAATTTCACCTTAAAAACTCATTTTTTTTATCACTCTAGTACTCACAAAGAAAATATCATGAGAATGACAGAAAATAATGAATATGTGTAAGTAAAATTATCTTACTTGAAAAGAATAGGTCTGTTTTGTAAATAAGTCATTGCCTGGGTCAAAAGAAGACTGGTTTCAGCCAGTTCAATATTGCGGCAGTGACTCTGAGTCCAGCGATACAATTTTTCAAGAGCTGTTTCCTGCATTAGAAATACAAGAGTACAAATTAAATTTCCTTCACACAATAACATATTCCTGCTTCATACATTATGCACCACAATGCAATTGAAGCATCCATTATGAAAAGAACCCACCAATAGAAATTTGGCATTTTTCAATTTTTGATTGAAATACTTAATATGTAGTCCCATCTAGTCATTTTCAATAGTCAAAAGAGCTCAATTCCTGGAAAGGGGTAACTTTCTGTGTCTAAGAGAAGTTATGGTAGGCAGTGATGCAGTTAAGAGCAAGAAGTAACAATATGGTTTACAGTGGCATTCACAGATAAGTTTGTTCGTTGCATTAGATGATAGTTATTTAAAAAAGAAAACTTTCATGTCAATGTTCCCATCATTTGAAGTCATTTAAGCAAATTGTACTGCTTCCAAGAAGGATACAAGCTGCAGATATTGGTCCAAAAGAAACTGGTACACTCCAAAGCATCCGAAGTACATGACTGGCAAGATAAAAGGGATTGTTTATACATCCTTCTGGATTCAGAAGAGCATAACAATTTTGTTGCCCACATGTCCACATTACAAAGTGTCGTTTCTCACAGCACAAAGAGATTAATGCAATGACAGTGATGTGAAGTTAAATGTTAAAAAACCAAGTACTTCTTCTGTAGATTGTGTACTAATGACACTTTGTATTAAATATTGTTAAAAAAACATTTCAATAAAATCTATTTAAACATTATATCCCCAAACCACAGCAGCCCAACTCCTGTATAAATTACCCCTAGAAATGCTCTCCCTAATGTCAATACATTCATTGGTTTCAAAATTAAGAAGTATGAAATTTTGACATGAATAATGGTTAAGATTACATTTTAGAATGAAAATAGATATCACTGTTTCTAAAGAGAGAATACTTCATACATTAGTCCATTGTAATTGCTTTAAAGAAACAAACAATTTTATGAATAATAGAGGACTTAGCTGAAAAAAGAAACTAGACAATAGAAACACATTTAGAATTCTATCAAATTCTGTCAGCCTTCATGCAGCTCGATGCACGTATTTTGCAAATGTACTTTCCCGCCTCAGATATGGTATACAATTCTGGGAAAACTCATCATGTGGTACTCAGACCTTTAGATTGCAAAAGAAAATTATTCGAATAATGAAACCCTTGAATAATGTTACCCTTGCAAGCCTCTTTTCATTGAGGTTGGAATTTTACTACTGCCTTGCCTATGTATTTACTGCAATATTTATCAAAAGTGACTTACTTAACGGTGGAAACATATTTTCATGCAATACTGATATTTATAATTACAACACACGTCGTAAAAATGATGTTCATGAAGTGTCAGTATCAACCGCTCACAATCAGAAATCCACATACAATATATGTACGTTACTTAAAAACGCACTACCTGATGACATTAAACAATTGAAGTCGGTTCACAAATTTAAGTTAAAAGTAAAATCGTTTCTGCTGCATAACTGTTTCTATACAATTAGGGACAATACTGATTAGGAAAAAGAAATATAATGTTTATTTTAACAAAACAGTGATATATAATGAATTAGTTTAAATTTGTATTGCATAATTTTTTTAAAAGACTCACTATGATTGTAACAAATAATGTACTTTAGCTCCCGGGTTGTCCAGTTTTCCTGATCCATTGAGCAAATGCTGAAACGGACCCTCGTTTTGCTTCTGGACATAAATGTAGTTTCACTACGCGCACATTTTGTTGAAATCTTCTATTGCTTGTAATAGTAAGAGTAGAGGCAAGGGCGAGTTCCTATTTTGTTAGCAATGCAGATAATTCATACTTGCAACTCATGTACCAATGCTAATACGTTTTCTATAACTTGGAAACGAAAATTACTATTTTTTTAAAAATATTGCTAATCTTGCGATTTTTAAAATTTATTTTTATTTAATTATATTAAACTTCTACTCATGTTTCAACTATTTATATATTATTATAGTTAAAATGACAGGAAGGAATTCTGGAACTCAAGAAAACGTGCACAAATACACTTCTTCTTCCTACGACACAGACAAGTTTTACTGTTTTTGGATTGAAAAAAACTAATTCAAAACATGCCTCAAAAGAAGGGTAAGTCCAGCTAAAAAAACAAACAAAAAAAAAAAAACATTTGACAGTCCCATCATTCCATCATTGACAGAATCTCACACACACTGCATTTCATGGGTAAACAAAAGAGACTATGTGGATTGTGAAAATATTTCATGAAGTATCAGTGATAAATAAAAAGAACTGAAAAAAATGTGTTTGGGGCTATTCCGTATTGAATGCTTCAATTAATACCTGTAACTGATTACATTACAATATGTAATACGCAATTTACAATACAAAAGCAGCATTACACATCATTGCAAAGCACCATTGCACATTAAAAGGCTTAACTTCTAAACAGCATGAAAAACTTGGTTAAAATTTAGTATACAGTACACCCTTAGAGAAACGTGGCAGCTGGGCTCAAGTCCTAATTACTGTACGTGCTCTAATAGAAATGAATAAAACTTATGGATAGGCGATTTTCATAGTTCGCCCTTCACATGCCGCATTGTAACGCCAACTTACTTTCAGCAAGTTTTCTCGCTTCACTCGCCTGGATCCAAGTCACGGCGAGGCTCGGGCCTTCGGCCCTCGCATTCACTATAAACATCCTTGAGTCTATCCAACGCATAATTACCAATTCACTTTTAAAAGACATCGCTTTTCAAGAAAGCCCCCAGAATTCTAACTGCCAAGTTAATGCCAGAACGGCGCGAAGTGCTGGTTTAAATGACATCCCTAGGTTGTACTGTATACTACATTTCAGCCAAAAACTTTACTTATAAAAAATTAATTCATCAATGTACACATTCATGCAAAGACAGAATAAGTTTTCACAGCATTCAATAAACAAAATAGTATTTTGATATAATTTGGACAAAAAATTATATATTATGTGTAAGAACATATTTTAACTATGCGCAGTGTATAATTAGTGGCAAAACATCTAGGAAAGCTTTTAATTCAGACTACTACTTTAACGTACACTTTTATTCATTCATATAATCTACATTAATACAACAAACTTTGTTGTATTAAAACAAAGTTTTGAAACTCATAAGGGAACTTATTTCGTGCAATAAATCAAAGCTATTATGTTTTAAATTTTCCTTAATTCTAAAAGTAAGAAAGTGTTGTTTCCTTTAGCACCTTAGCACCTCACCTGGTATAAAGCCATCTGTTCCATGATTTCCAGAGCAGCAGTCTGATGCCCTGATTGCATGAGCATATGACAGTTACTATGTATGTTTTGCACTCTATCAAGTATTGTGAAGAACTCTCCAGTTACTGACAAGTTATGGGAACTTCGAAGTACAGATTGTTCTGATGATGTAAGCTGAAAACGCTTAAGAAATGCTTCTGCTATGTCTTGTTGCAAAGTTATCTTCTGACTGTAAATTGATCAAATGAGTATCATCATAATAACATGAAGGGCACATGAACAAATTAATAATAATGCTACTTATTTATTATTGTTATTTTCAATTTGGTAATGAGACTTTTGTGTTGTTTAAAATAACGTAAGTCATTATAATGTATTGCGCTTACATGTATTACTAATCATGTTAACTTATTAATTATTACTGTAATTTAATGTAATTCTTATTATAATTTATATTATTTAAATGTTTATTGAAATCATTTACATAACATATTATTGAAATGTAATTTTTCAAGTTACTTTAAACTAATTAAATTATTACTGTGAGTTAATGTAGCTCAGAAAAAAATAATGTAAGTCTTATTGTGATTTAAATTAATTGCCTGACAGACTTTGCGTAATCCTTTTTGCAAGTCTGTTCGCAATAAAATGGTATTATGAAATAATTAACAAAATTACATTCTTAGTACCTTTCAGCTTGCAATTTAGTAGTCTGGTCAATGAGTTGATAAGTTTTGGTTTTTGTGGCATGTAATCGGCCGGTCATATTAAGAACAGAATTATTCATTGCGATCACATCATCGTAAATACCATCAAGCACCTCTTTTACTTCTCGAAAGGCGGATAGAAAATCCTAAAGAAACGCAAAACAATTACTTTGTGAAAGAAATGCAATTTAAAAACAAATGTTAATTAAACTAACCTCATTTATAGCCAAGCTCCTCTTTTCAATTTTACTTCTCAGATTACGACGCGTTTGTAAGGTGTTTTCGGAGAAGAACGTGGACAGTTCCTTCAGAGCCTCAATTGTATCTTTGTCATTTTCTAACCTTGTTTCCAATATTTTATTCAAACGTCGTGAGAGCACCTGGTCGTTCTTCTTTCCCACTGCATTACTCGGCTGAGTATTATTCGCATCATTAGTCATTTTTGGTCACACTTAACACAACCGCACCAATTTTCTCAGGTGAGTTTTAGGAAAGGCAAAAGTAGTCAGCTTCCCAAACAGTTTGACCTAACACGACGCCTAATCTAACCTATTGAGGACTGACAACTGGCCGATGACGTTTTTGGCACACTGACATGAACCATCGACGGGGGAGATGCATCCAGAAAGTGTGGGTGCATCAGCTGCTTTGCTAATATAATACGGTTTATTTAGTCGTACATTGACGTAAATCAGTTGTTGCGATTTCATCCAATAGGGAGCTTCAATGTCGCTACAGTGACGTCACTGTGAGGACGTTAAAGCTTCCGATTAAATGAAACTTTAAACATATTCCTTACGTCAAGTGCATGGTACAATAAATCTCAGTATAGATCCTAGTAATCTGTCAATTGGCCCTTCCTCCGAATGGTCGCCAACGTTGTACGTGTCTTATCTTCAGCACCTGTTTAACGTTTACCATTATCATTACATTTAATATCTGTGATCAAACATCAGATGAATAGTGTAACAATCACATAAATTAGGAAAGGTAACAAGAATGCATATGTAGAAAACGCAAAACTGGATTTCGACGTGTTATTTAATAGTACTATTACTGGGAGTTACACTATCATAAAGGGGGGGGGTGGATTGCCGTCACACTTAAGGCTAAATGTACCGACACTAGTACAATTTGTGGCCACCACGTCGCAGCACCAAAATAAGTAAGCGTCAAATGCCGTTTACAGATCGAAAATCGGACCATTGGTTCAGACGTTATCGGTAAAGTAAATTTTACTTATTTTGGTGCTGCGACGTGGTGGCCACAAATTGTACTAGTGTCGGTACATTTAGCCTTAAGGTGCGACGGTCACTTCCAGACAGCAAGACAGCAGGGCGTTCGCGCTGAATTTATTTACAGAGCGCCAAGCGCATGCCTTATCTGCTATCCGGTCACCGGATCGAAGCATTGCATTTGGCTGACTGACTACAAGTAATACATTGGCTATATTTCTTTGTGTTACCACCCGAAAAAATGGCGGGGACACGTTTATTATCAGTAAAATGTCCCTCAAATACAATTATCTGTTGTGAGCTTACCTCTGGCTGGTAGTAAGTATGGGCGTGAATTCACTTACAAGAAGGTGATGATTGTGATGTCGCTACTTCACCCCAAAAGGATTACACGACTAATACAGGTCGGCTGCAGTGGAGAATCTGTTGAAATGCCATAAGAATCCCCTGTAGTCGGCAGGAGCGCTCTCGGATGTCCAACATCAGGCCAGGCGGGAGATCATCTGTGGCCGTCCGCGAAATGAGTCGGTTTTGATGTGCGGGCCGCAGGTCCCCATACGTCGCCTGGACCGCGTTTTGTGTTTTACAGCCGAATGGTCGGGCTGCACTCCCTCACGGATAATTTTAGGGAGTTGATCCTATAATCCCAGCCCGGCATCCAGAATAAATTCCGATGCTGAATGAGGGCTGGTCGGATCGTGTGAAGGACAGCGTCCGTTGGATGGCTGTTGTCGCCGTTAAATCATTTACTATCTCATAATGCCGTTATGTCAAGAACTGTGGACTCTAAGAGCCAACCGATCTCTGTAGAGATTATTTTTCCAATAATGAGCGCCCTCAGCTCGCCCGATTCCCGTCCCCAGCCCTTTCCCAAGATCCATGAGCTCTGTCTCGGGCGTAGCGCGAAGCTTTTCCTTGGCTTGTTCCAAAGTTTCCAGAATATTCTATTACCCGAGATCTGTGATTGGGTCAAGGGGACCGCACATCTTTGTAACCTTCACTTCTTAACACGTAATTAATTGGTTGTTTATTGTTCACCATCTCGTGCCTACGTGACTCGACACACATCTGCGATCCTTCTACGAAGCTTCATGGTTTATTGCCCCTTAGGGATAAGCTAACGAGCTGCCCTCGAATCTCTTAATACGATGTTCCGGGAATCAATATCATATTGTAACGTTTCTCGTGGTGAATTAAAACCAACACAATATTTTAAACAAAATACGTTTATTAATGAACTTTTTTACACTAAAATCTACTGACACTAAAAACTACTTGGTCTATTTACAGATATATTACACTTAATTATTTTTCTTTACACACGACTCCGTTCTCTTGATTATTTATTTACACAGTTCATTTCTTACACACTATTTATTTACACCGATCTCGTCTTCTACAGTATCACCCAGTCCGATGCACTGCCCACAGTTCACTGCACTGACTCAATTCCGTGCGTAGACCACAATTCCCTGCGCACACCAGGGTCCACTGCACTGCTGTTTGCCGCGAGGCACCCTTCACAGCTCAGCTTCCAATGCAGACTTCAGACTGCTTACTGCTGTTCACCCACTGCACCACTTCACCGCAATGCACACTGTACAGCACAGCTTCCACTTCGGACACACTGACGGACTGACTGCTTAATCACTGAACTCTGCTACTCACTGACTTCTACTGACTCACTACTCACTGACTTCTTCTCTCTCGCGGCCGCCGGCAGCGGCGCATTTATACCTGCCCGGCGTTCGTCTCCAGGCACCCGGCACATTCTCCGCGTTTCCCGCGGCTCGCGAATAGTCCGGAACCGTCCAGTTCGGGGGGAAGGGAAGGGGCGCCGGCAGATGACGCAATCTGCGCGCAACGAATTCCGGCAGGCGATGCAATATTCGTTGCACTATTTCCAAACAAAAGACCGTGGGGAGTGTTTTTCGGAGGCGGGCGAACGCCCGGGAATCACTTGGGTGGCGGCGCGCACAAGACGAATTGTGTCTAAAAGCATCCTTCGCTTGGAGTTTATTTAAAAAGGCGTGACGCAATGGTCGTGCTGTGAAATGGGTCATTGAAATATATATATATATATATATATATATATATATATATATATATATATATATATAGTGACGAACACTAGTGCCTACGTTCGTCACACACCCACGCTTCAAGGACACAGCTGTAGTAGAGGTCTTTTTATAGACAGGGTGAGCGAGCGCGTCGCGATTTGAAAAGGGCGCGCCTGTAACCTGCGATACTGTTGCGAGCTACGTCTGCGACGCAGGTAAATAAGGTGGAAGCAGTCAGACAGGGCAGGGGGAGATGACACGCACTACCCGAACACGGAGCATGCATAAAAGGGCAAGCTGCCGATGATTCATTATCTTTTGTTTCCGAACGCCGAGCCAACAGCACTATCTTCAGTTCTTGACCGCCGATCCAGCTACAACTTCGCCGAGTCAGTAGGTAGGAGTATTGGACGTTCGACAGACGCCTAGATAGCCGTCCGCGAACTTTTGTTAGAATTTCCTGGAGGAAAGTTTTCTTCAAATAATACGCGAGGAGTTAATTTAGAATCTATCATTTCATTGTGGAGCTAAGGACGGTACAGAATGTGAATAGTTCGTGTTGAGATGAAGTAAATTCCAGTCAACGGTGAAATGTGGGACAGAGCAAATATTACGCATTCGCCCTAAATACGCACGATTTCATTGCGTTGCAAGGAACATTCGCACGCGGGCGTAAATGAAACGTCGTGGGGGACGAAGAAGCCGAGGACGAAAGGCACCAGGAGAACAAGACAGGAAGACTACGCGGAAGACGACACAAGAGGGTAGCGAGAAGTCACCGGTGACCGGGGAGCCACGATCGGCTGCGCGGAGGCCGAAGACAGCATGTGCGGGCGAGGTTCCGTAGACGCCGAGGCGCGTCAAGGTCAAGCTGAGGAGTGGTCGCAGACGCAGTTGCGCCAGGTAACGGCGCGAAAGCGCTGTTAAGCCAATGTCCCGCGACCAGGGAGGACTTGTAAACAGGGAAATTTGTGAGGGAAATACGTATTCAGAACGCATCTAGTCATCATTCAGGGATTCTTGCTATTTTAATGCATATTAGCCTACATAATTGTAAATACGTTAATATTAATTTACGTTGCCCGCGGCAACAGGAATTGTTACAGAGATTGTTGCGCATCTGCGCACATTTTTGTAGTAAAGTTATTTGGATAGAGTGTTAAATTGTGCACTGTGCCGTTGGTTAATGTAAATAGTAATTGTAGTAAAGTAAATTAGTAAGCAAGACAAAGGAAATTCCGGAGGATCATTTACGCAAAAAGTTTAATGAATAATTCATGCTTCACTCACAAAAGGGTACCAATTTTTAATCTGTTGTATTTCATTTTTTGGTGTAATTTTTTTGTAAGCAACTAGAGGGTTGTAAGAGTATTAAACCCAGTTTAAATGATTTATACGTTTTTTTTATTTACTCTCGACGCCCAAAAGTTCCCACTGCCCTGAGGTATTACAAGCTATCAAGAGCATGATTTCTGCGAGGTTCGCAACAGGCGATTATAGAAATTCCTAGATGGGAAGTTTTCGCCAGTATATATATATATATATATATATATATATATATATATATATAAATTGCATGGATCTATAATTTTAACTATATATATATAATAGAGTAGATATGTATGTATATATATACATATCTACTCTATTATATATAGTTAAAATTATAGATCCATGCAATTTTTACTTTCCCGTATACGTATGTATTATATGTAGTGTAAGAAAAGTTATGAATTGCTGCAGGAAATCAATTTCAAGATTCCAACCGAAATACACGTTTTGGAGACCGTTGATTCCGAAAAAGTGTTATATCTGTCTGTCCGTGCGTCCACCCGTCCGTTTGTTCGTCCATCTGTGAACACCACAAGCGCTTAAACCTTGCGTAGGATTTTTTTTCCAAATTGAATGACCCCAGTGCAAGTATATTGACCCTTTCCAGACCGTGTCCTTCTCGCTCGAGTCGGAGCTTTGACATTTTGCAAAATTCTTTTAAATTTGGGGGTACTTTACAGAAAGCCCCCCGAACATTTTCAAAATTTTCTCAAAAACGACTTCAAATTTTTTCATTATATTTCTTGTAAAAATATAGTAATACAGGCTAAAGGAGGGATAGGTCCGATTTTTAAGGCTTAACTCTGAATTTTCGAAAATTTCAAAATCTTTCGGGCGTCTTTCCAAAACTGCAAAATTGAAGATATATTTTTTTCTTTCAAATGAAATTTGTTCTTCATAGTGACCTCTTTCATTACAGATATGTACATTTTTTCGAAAATTTAGTAGTTTTCGCGCAATTTTGCGAGAAATATGTGCAATTTTGAAATATAACAAAAAGATTTTCTCAAAAACGGTTCCAACTTTTGGTAGGGATAGTGCGATATGTGCTCTATAAGATGACGTAAACAATATACTGTTCTATTCTTTTGTGTTTTAAAAATTTTTTTAAAAATCATCTCTCACGTCGTTTATGTTAGCGGAAATTTGTTCACGTTATTATATTTATGAGTACATGTGCTTTAAATAATATCATATAAAGTTTCTAAAAACTTAGCCGTTTTCTGTTAAAACTACCTCAAAATTCCGCATTTTCTGAAACGCGCTGTGGACCGTGGACAGTGCATCGAACTGCGATAGTGTAGAAGAAGTGAACAGTGTAAATAAACAATTAGAAGTGAACTGTGTAAATAATAATAAGAGAACGGAGTCGTGTGTAAGAAAAATAATCAAGTGAAGAGCACAAGGACTGTGTAACCTATATGTAAATAGATAAAGTAGTTTT